AACATAGTTCCCTAATAAATGAAGTTCTCGTTGTGGCTGTATTGAAGAATCGACATAGCTCCTTAATAAATGAAGTTCTCGTTGTGGCTGTATTGAAGAATCAATATAGCTCCTTAATAAATGAAGTTCTCGTTGTGGCTCTGTTGAGGGATGAACATAGCTCAGTAATAAATGAAGTTCTTGTTGTGGCTATATTGAGGGATGAACATAGCTCCCTAATAAATGAAGTTCTCGTTGTGGCTTTATTGAGGAATCAACATAGCTCGTACTTCGAAATGAGTGAAATATTAATACACTGAGATCAGCGTAAAGTAAATGTTGCACGATTTCTAACCTAGCGAAAATATAATCATTCCACGAAACAATATAATCTAGGACAAATGAAATAATTCTCAATCCTGTTAATCTTTTTTTCTCTCTCTTTTTTAGAAAGCTTTACATATACTCATACTAAAGAGTTCGCTGCAAATCACCTTCACATTAATAAGCACAATTAGAAAAAATCGCATTTGTATGTGTAAGTAGAAAAGTTTTAGAAAAGATGAAGGCAGTGTTGGAGTTATTTGCAAAGATTTATGTATATAATTCAAGAATACTTTTAATAGAATATATTTTTTCAAAACCGTGAATGTTAATATTATTGACTAAGGTCAATTACCTAGAGGGCTTTGGATTAATAATGATCATACAAGTGTATCCGCCAAAAATAAATTACTTGTGCGTGTTTAATCTTCTAGGATTTTTTGCCGTAAGTGCTCTGCTAACATCGCTAACATCAAAAAGGCAAAGTTTCTAGAACCTTTTATCACGGTGTAAGTAATATACATAGGAGAGTAAGCAAGTCTTGCTGGTGCTGACAGGTTTCAAAACAAAACACAATATCTCGATATCAACATCATTAATCAAACGTTCAAGTTCAAAGTTTTCAATAGAACGGGCACTTTAAATTTGAACTTATAAAATTTTCATTTCCAAACACGAATGTTCCAGATACGTTATGTTACAATGTTTATTACTCACAGCTTATTAGATACAATATAATTTGTTCAACAATACAAGACTTCTTGGATAGAGCTTGTAAAACCACTCTCATTTATATCACAGACGAAATTCCTCCTATAGCTTTTTAAACTCCAATTTTATTCACTTCTGTGGGAAACGCAACATTGTTCTTTCTACTGATTATGGGTTGAAAAGTTTTACAGAATATAACGATCTTTTAAAATATTTCACGTCTACTCGTGAATTGTTTTGGAAATTATTTAGGGCAAAAATAAACCGCTTTGGTGTATTGATCACCTTTGGTTTTACCTCCCGTTAGTATAAGTTCTTGTTACGTGTAGTTAATGCTAGCTATATAACAGTTTCATACATAATATTACATTACGCTATTAGTTGTTACATTAGCTTTTGATAAGTATTTTCTTTGACACTTTTAAGATTGTTGTAATTTCCCTTTCTAAGTCTTATTATTATTATTGTTGGACCTTTTAGAGGTTTATCGTATCTACATTCCGGCTTTTCAAAAGACTCCTGTTGTCTGCTCTATGTGTCACTTAAAGTGGAGCAGTTGTATTTGAAATATCTCATAGTATATTTAACACATTGTTTTCTTTGCATTACATTTAACGTTATTATTTTTATTTTTACAAAACCAATATTCTAACTGTTTATTGTACAATTTAGATATTACTTTGATTAATTATTCATTATTTTTGTATCTTCACAAACATTAGTTTTTGGATGAACTCTTGGTACTGTCCTCTTACTTGACTCCACACCTAAACAGTAAAGTGTGTCGTAGTAATTTATCTCAGATGCCACACTCCTCTAAAGTTACACCCTCGAAGCTGTTTAATGGGTTTACAGTGGTCACAAGATATTTCCATTCGGAATGGACAACACAAGACGTTTATAGGGAGGATTGTGTAAAGTTTTGTTCATACGTGGTTATATTGATGTATAACAACAAAACAATCAAACAACGAACATTAAGTCTGCGAAAGTACTTGAAGCCAATAGATAGTGTTTATGTATTCCATAAGTAAGATATACGGTAGTATTTCTTTATTGTTACTTTCATTAACATATTGGATAGAGTTTTTAATGTATCTAATTTCATTTTTGTTAGTATCCTTTTATTATAGACATTGTTTTGCATTGTTAGCCTAATGTGTGTATTCAGGACTAACCTAAATATCCTAACCTGGCCGAGCCTCGTGAGATATTATTGAGATTA